AGATCTTTTGCCAGAGTGTCTTGGCTTTCCATGCCTGAAATACTCTCATGGGCTTTTCAGCCAGATCCGAATACCTTTAGGGCTGATTCTGAGGCCAGAGTGCTATTTAGGACATCCGCCATTCTATGAGTCTGCTGAGTATCTCACTTCCCATGTTGGATCACTCTCCCCTTTATTTATTCTATCGGTTAGTGTTAGCAGATACTAGACTTGTTTATGTTGGTTTCAGATTTTTACTTCCACTTTCCACAATTTTAAAAAGCACCTTCATACTTGTGTAAAAATTAGAACCCAGGCAGCAGAGAAGCTAAGCTAAGGTGATGGAAAATAACTTGTTATCTTTAGAAAAAGATACAAAAAACTATATATCTGATATTATAAGGAGAGTTAATGGAGAATTTCTGTCTTTTAAAAAGTCTTTCACAAGTCAAGTTTCAGAAACACTTAAAAGGAATACATTATGCAAGCTTTATGAAAATTATTTAAAATTGTTATTACGGTAATTTAAACATTCTCAGTCCTCTTTGATTTACATTTTAGTGAAAACAGTGCCATGGTTTATGTAACCTATAACTTTATTATGCTATACTACAATTTTTACTACTCTACAGAGTAAAATGTACTATTTAATTTGCTCAACCTTCGAAGTTCTTAATCCTTAAAGGATGTGATAACAGTTTAGATGAAGTACCTGTTTATAAGTCTTAGGCCGGAAGAAATTTGGCAATGATACAGTAATTCTGAAAATCTGTTTCTAACAGAAAGATTAGTTACATTATTACGATATTCTGTTGTGCTTGTTCTCTTTTTTCTCTTATCAAATCTGGACAACATGCTCCATCAGTGATGTCTTTATTGAGATCATTTTTTAAATTAAATAACTAATTTTTTTCTTTCTAAATTATATATGAAGCAAACTTTCATGTAGCAGAAGACTTTCGTTATTGAGTATGTTCCAAAATTATAACTTTCTATGATGCACAACTTTTTATCTCTAATATTGATTGCATGTTAAAAAATGAAAAGCTTTTTTTTTTTTTCAGAATTGCCACATTGTGGTTGAGAAAGCTATCTGGTTTGTTAATCAATAGTGTTTTGAAATTATGAGTGTTTTGGTTTTTCTTAATTATATATTTATTATTTTAACATTCATTTCATGATCCCAAGAATGCATTAGTTGAAAGATATACTATCTAGATTACACCATTTTTCAGGGTAAAAAGAAAAAGAAACTTGATTCCATAAATTGCACTTATCAATTATGAAAAGGTTTCTAATTTCAAACACTTTAAAGTCTGATTTCTCCTTTAAAAGAAGAAAGATTTTAGAGTTAAATATCTAAAATAACTTAATTCCATGGTCACTTTCACTCATGAATAACACCAACTTCATGTGTGAGAACAAATAACAGAAAAAGAAGAATTTATTTATGCTTACTAATTAATGCTAATTATGTCAGAATCTTTAATATGCTGTGTAGGTGCTTAATAATGACATTGAGCAATGTATCACCTAAAACATATTTCCTGAAAACTTAGATAATTCTGGAAATTTGGTTTTAGTTGAGATATGTTTCCTGTTACTTGGGAAAGCAAGTATCTCAAAAATGTAGTCAGACGTAAGGGAGTAATGGTGCCCTTGGTAGTCAATGGTGGCCTAAGAAGAACACCATGGAGGAAACATCAGGCACTTTGGACTAATTATGGTAACTGCTAGCATTCATTAAGCAGTGACTTGCGCCAGCCCAGTAGACAATTTGCTTCGACGTTCCACCAAAACTCATTTTATCTAGACTGCAGTGACTTCCTTACTGATCTTCCTGTATCTGCTCTCCATGTTGTCACCACAACATTAATCTTTAAAAAGAAAAATGATATCATGCTACTTCTGAAAACTCTTCAATAGCTTCCCAAAGCCCTGGAAAAAAAAAAAGTTATTTTTTTATTTTTTATTTTTTTTATTTTTTATTTTTTTGACAGGCAGAGTGGACAGTGAGAGAGAGAGACAGAGAGAAAGGTCTTCCTTTGCCGTTGGTTCACCCTCCAATGGCCGCTGCGGCCAGCGCTCTGCGGTGGGTGCACCACGCTGATCCGATGGCAGGAGCCAGGTACTTATCCTGGTCTCCCATGGGGTGCAGGGCCCAAGGACTTGGGCCATCCTCCACTGCACTCCCTGGCCACAGCAGAGAGCTGGCCTGGAAGAGGGGCAACCGGGAAAGAATCTGGCACCCCGACCGGGACTAGAACCCGGTGTGTCGGCGCCTCAAGGTGGAGGATTAGCCTAGTAAGCCGCGGCACAGGCAAAAGAGTTATCTTTTACAATAACCTTCAAGATGCCGGTAATGTGGCCCATGCATGTTGTTTTGATTGCATTCTGAACCACTCCTACTTTTGTGTTTTGTTGTTCATGTTCATCTCTGTGTTGCTACAACTCTTAGCTCTTCTTCTTTCTGTCTGGGAAACCTTTCCTTTGACTGTATGGGTGCCCATCTCCTGCTCATACTTAATTTTGTGACTCATTTTTCTCATAGTGAAGTAGAGCAGATTTAGTCCTCTCTGTAAAATCAGAGATTTTGCCAGTCTCAGGCATCATTGAGTGCTTTCCGCCTGAAAGACGAGCTCAGAGCCACAGGAGTTCAGGCAAGGTTTAAGTTCCAGTGGAAAACCAGATTCAAACTGAATTTGTACAACACACTTAACTGGCTTATTTCTTCTCTTCATCTATAAAACTGGGCTGATGATAATATGTTTTGTCTTTGTCATAGAGTTCTAAGAATTCATGCAAAGGGCTGGTACTGTGGCATAGCGGTTTAAGCTGCCGCCTGCAGTGCCAGCATCCCATATGGGTGCCTGTTCGAGTTCTGGCTGCTCCACTTCCAATCCAGCTCTCTGCTATGGCCTAGGAAAGCAGGAGAAGATGGCACAAGTACTTGGGCCCCCGCATTCATATGGGAGACCAGGAAGAAGCTCTTTGCTCCTGGCTTCAGATTGGCCCAGCACCAGCCATTGCAGTCATTTGGAGAGTGAACCAGCTGATAGATGATCTCTCTCTGACTCTCCTCCTATCCTCTGTAATTCTGCCTTTCAAATAAATAAATAAATCTTTAAAAATAAAAGAATTCATGCAATACATTCACACGAAACATTTAATAAGTGTTAAAGTACTGCCTTGTAGAAAACTAATGGTTAGCCAAAAATGTTATCTAATCCAGTAATTCTAAGGATGTGGTTCTGAGGCTAGTATCATTAACAACTTTTTTAGTGGATGAAAATTTTGAAATTGTACTTCAGACATTCTGAATCAGACACTCTGAATGAGGGTCAGCAAGCATTATAGAGAGAGTGAGAGAGAGAGAGGGAGGTCCTCCATTTGCTGGTTCACTCCCTAGATGGCTGCAAGGGCTGGAGCTGCACTGAAACGCAGCCGGGAGCCAGGAGATTCTTCCGGGCATCCCACGTGGGTCCAGGGGCCCAAGAACTGAGCCATCTTCTACTGCTTTCCTAGACCATGGCAGAGAGCTGGATCAGAAGTGGAGCAGCCAGGACTCGAACCAGTTCCTGTATGGGATGCCAGCACTGCAGGGGCAGCTTACCTCTATGCCACAGGGCCAACTCCTATATCTAACAAATATTTAAAACAGGTGTGGCTAAAGGCAGATAAAGGTACATGTGGTTAAAGGTATGTGTGATGTCTGATCTCGGTAACTTGAAGCTTTCATAGCAGGGCCAGAGCACGTGCAGGGGCCGTAGGCTGGTGACACGCAGGCTATTCCCATGTGTAAACTGCAACCCCTGCTGAGCACACAGAACTTCTCATTTGCTGCCAGTGTGGGTTAACAGTTCTTTCCTTTGGCTGTTTCAATCAGTTTTGTCTTTCCTTGAATAAATGTCATGAGCACAAGTATGTCTAAGCAGGGGAAGACCCCACTTAGTATTGTTGCCAGTGTCAAGCTCAACCAATTCACAGCAAAAGTTTAACCATGCAGAACTGCATTTGAAGTTGCCTGCAATTTTTTCAATTTTCTACTTGAAATGTCCTCAGGTTCAATTTCTGGGAATGATCACATTCTAAAGACCCAGCATGGTCTTCCAGGGATAGTACCAGAAACCGGATGTCAAGGACCTGCAGGAACAAGTTTGCCTTGAAAGGTGAATTGGAAAGCAATTGGAGCTGGGGCAACTGGGAATAGGCAAGGCAGTGGGTATCTGGTTAGATGGGGGTTGTGAGCATTTATGGAGAATAGAATCAGAATCTGCAGTTTAAAAGCAATATCCTTAGTGCTTATATATACATTAGTATTTGAGAAGATCACTCTAGGTCAGCATTTCTTATTCTTGGTACATATCGAAATCACCTGGGGAGCTTTCCAAATTCCTATCCCCAGGCCCACTCTAAATTAATTAAGTCAAAATCTTCAGATGAGGTCCAGGCATCTTTTTTAAACCAGACCAGGTGATTTCAATATGTGACCAATCATTGAAAACAATTTTTTCTCAATTGTAAAAAAAAATTTCATTTTTATGACTTATGAAGATAGCTATTTTTATGATTTGTCTTATCTGTAACAAGAGAAACACTATCCATTATTTCAGGTCTTTGTTTACATATAATATATAAAGTCTACTTACATACTGTAGATAGTATATAAAGTAAAACTTAATAGAAAATTTATTTCATTATGTCACATGTACATGTAAATGTTCTCAAAATCTACATTCCTGAGTGCTGGTTGTACAGATATATTTATAATGGCTGTTGATCATTTCTGCTTTTCAGCCAACCCCACTGGGTTCTTTCCACCTGGACTTGGCAGTTATGGACCATTTTTTTCCCTTGTTCATTCTAACTGCACTACAAAATAGATACCCAGCTATAAAACATTTAATAAAAATGTACTTACAACTATTGTAGCTTAGTTGAAGGGATGTAGCTTAGTTGCTAAAGTGTCAGATTCCACCCCATAAGTGGGTTGCTTTTAAAAATCTCCCCTGCAGGCTTACCTTTCCTTCTACCCAGCAATTGCATTAATAGGTGCTTTTAAAAGGTGGTGGGTCCTCTCAAGATGTTGGCTTCTTTTAAAATTCTTTTAATCAAGATCTGCCTCTAATGCTCTTCATTTACTTTCTTAAGTGAAAGTGTAACATGAAAGCCAATTCCAAGCCACTAGGGGGGAAAAATAACTGTTATAGGGGCTGGACCGAAACAGAGACCTGGTGCTTCCCCTTTGAAGTGTGGCCACCTGTGAGCTCCTATTGATCTTGGGCAGCCAAGCTTCAAAGGGATAAGGCTGCACTTCTCCCCCACCTGGCCACTGCGTGTTATAACACTTTTGAGTCAGCAGGGGCTACTTTCAAGTTAAAATTTGGATTAAAAAGCTAAATTGTGAGTGGTAGATGGCTCATAAGGTAGCTTTTAAAACATCAATATGATTTGAGATCTGCTCAGCAGTGTCTTCCCCACCTCCTTCCTTTGCCCTCTTGTCACCCTCAGTATTTCAAAGGTCAGGCTTCTTTCAAATTAGCTTCTAAATCAGAATTTAATGAAGTCACTAACATGAAGGTGAATAGTTGATATATCTAGAGCAATCAGGATACTGAAAAGCCAAAATAGCTTCCCACCTACATCTATTGACCTTGTAATGTAAAAGGAAAGTCAGTGGAGAAACTAAACTTTTTCTTCTGTTGGCTGTAATAGGAATGGTGATTTATTTGTAGATTTAAAATAAATTTTAAGAGGTAGTTGCATTTTGTGAGTCTATGTATTTGTTAAAGTCTATATATTCAGACAGTTTCTAAAGATGCATTTTAATACTAAAAGATTCTCAACTCTTTATTGGGTCTGTTTTGCATGTAGGCAAGTCAAAGAGAGGAAAGACAGCTTAATATGAAAAGATTGCAATAGTTGAACACACTTTGTATTCACAGAGATTAATATATAGTTAAGCATAAATGAGTACTCTGTTACATCTATAATGATAGCATTTTCCTTTAAATTGGACTATTATGTTAAACATATTTTTAAATGTATTCTCTAAGAAACTACCAACCTTTTAAGTTTCTATTTTCATTTTAATCCTTAGAAAATGGCTGTCCTCATATGACTATGACTTGAAAGGACTTTTTTCGCTGGATGAATGCCTTAGCCACAGAGGATGTGTATTGGGGGTAACACCTAGGTTCCCACTGACTCAGAGGAGCTCAGCTTTGAACATAAGAATGACTCTGAAGACTTAGATCAAATCAGTTGGTAAAAACACCTCAAAATATTTTTCAAACCTATAATCTTGTTGCAGGATAAAACAATTTCTTTCTGCTTCTCTGTTACAAAAGCAGACAGAATTACCTGAAAAGTTCTGTGGTCCACATTATGGTATCTGCCAGTTTAGGATAGGGAAGGATAATAATTTTAGGTGAGAACATGGTAGAAAAATGAACAGTTAGACATTGTTTATGTGTTTAAATTGTTTGTTCATGTTAAGGAAGCTACATCGTAGAACTAAACAACAAAGTCTAACAGAAACTATATTGCCTACTTTGCAATCTGTATTTATATAGTTATCCCATGATAGACATAAAATTTTCAAAGGATTTTAAAATTTTGCATGTTTTATATATAAAATGTTAATTAGAGTCTACACTTTCGAACGTGAAGAAACTGTCTGTTTTATGCTGTGGAAGTAACATTTCATTTTTGCCAACACTAGCAACTATGAAAGCAAACCTTTCTCTGCTCCCACCCTTTTTTTTTTTTTTAACATTTTAAACTTATATGGCAATCACAGGGTTTTGCTTAGTCTCTGATAATAGAAGTAATGTCAGATACATACTTGATATGCACAAGTAGCATTTCCATAAAAGTTTTGCATTTTGCCACAACTAACTTGATCAGGGTCTCCCACATCTTTTTCTGTTTAATGAACATTTTGGCAGAGAAAAACTTAAAAATGTCAACCTTGTGTAAGTATTCTGTTTCCTTTAATCAGCGACACTGTGTTGGCTTTTATTTATTTGAAGCAATTTGTTGCAAGAATTACAGTGGTGATGTGTACTGTTGTCTGAAACATGTAATTTCTTTATGACTAATTATTGGATGACTGCTTTTTTTCCTAGGTATAAAGATTTTGGATATTTTTTAAAGAGTAATCCTTGTCTTAACCACTAGGTAGGTACATTGTCAGAAAGTGAGTTATAAATTCATGAAATGATTGGGGATACTGAATTTTTTGTGCTGATTTTATTTTCAAAGGTTGACATTTTATTTCAAGTGTTTAAAATATCTATATTCAGATAAAGACTATTTAGAAAAAAAATCTAATAAAAAATCAAGAAAGTTATAGATTTTTTTTTTGCTTACTAATTGTACCTTGTAATAAGGGATGTTAAAAAATATTTCAGTTGCAAATGATGGTTGATCACAGAAATCCCCTTTGGTAGCTGAAAATTTAAGCAACTTTTAGACAAAGTAATGAAATTTTTCATCAAAGGTGAACATATGAGAATATTTCAAAAACTTAATGGAGAATAGAACTAAAAATACATATGATGGTGCAAAGATTTTCAAATCCTTATATATTGTTTTATATTGATTTCCATGAATTTAAAAGGCCCTTTGTGCATCACCCAAATGTCTTCATTTGCTTAAGCTGAAACTGTCATTAGAAGTGGTTGAAAAATATGTTAGGAAGCTGTCTCCCATCCAAGTGCTAACCAGGCCTGGCCCTGCTTAGCTTATGAGATCATTTGAAATTGGCAAGTTCAGTGTATATGGCTATAGACTTGGAAGCTATCTTAAGATTTTATTTAAAATTAGATGAAGATTAATTAAGACTTAATTTAAAAATTAGGTGCATTAACACGTAGATAAACTATAATTCTAGAACATTTTGATTATTTTCATTATGTTTCATAACAAAACTAATATTTTTGAATTTATAGTCAAATCTAGGGAAATATTTCTTTACCTCTGTTTAATACAGAAAAACTATTCAAAATTAAAAATTATGTTTTCTTTCAAAATTGCTTATATATTACATGTAGCTTAATGTTTGAGTTGAAAGTGAAATCAGTTTTAAAAATACTGTGGCTTCAAAAATAGCCCATGCTTAATGTCACTGTACATGATTAGTTCATATTTTTCATTTCACTTGCAGAAAGGATGAAAATTTAATTTCATATTACATTATTGTTACTAATTATAGTAATTATATAGTAATTATATATTATCATTACCAGTTTTTTTTTTTAAATCTTTTGTCCCAGAAGATGAAATAAGAGCAAAAAAAGCTATAAGTTAATATTTTACTCCATTTACCTGTCATAGACAGAAAGAGAGAGAGACTTCATCTGCTGGTCCACTCCCCTCTTGGTTGCAATGGCCAAGGCTGGGTCGGGCCAAAGCCAGGAGCTAGGAGCTTCATTTATTCTCTTCCATGGCTGGCAGAGACCCAAACATGTGGGCCATCTTCTGCTGCTTTTCCCAGGCCATTAACAAGGAGCTGGATGGGAAGTGGAGCAGTGGGGCAGTAGCCCCTGTGTCTGTATGGGATGCCTACATCACAAATGGTAGCTTTACCAGCTACGTCACAATGCTGACCCCATTAGTAATCAGTAATCATTCTGGACAAAAGAAAGTGTGGATGTTATTTGTCTTTTTGCTTCATTCTGCTTAAAAACATGACTAAAGAGGAAAATGTCCCTAGAAATAGTCTATAAATTCTTTAAATCTGGAACGGACAGAAAAATTGATTCCAAAGTTTGGCATTGTGGTGTAGCATGTAAAGGCATCACCTGTGATGACAGCATCGCCAGTTCATGTCCTGGCTGCTCCACTTTCAATCCTGCTAATGGCTTGGGAAAACAGTGGAAGATGGCCCAAGTGCCTCACCACCCACATGAGAAACCTGGAAGAAGCTCTTGGCTCCTGGCTTTGAACTGGTTCAGCCCTGTCTGTTGGAGCCATCTGGGGAGTGAACCACAGATGGAAGATTTCTCTCTCTTTCTCTGTAACTCTGATTTAAAATAAAAAAATAAACAAATAAATCTTAAAATATCAATTCCAAGCAGTGTGCGCATAACACTGTTTCTGGAGAGTAATTAGAAATCACTTGAGCCGGCATCACAGCTCACTTGACTAATCCTCCTCCTGCAGCGGGGTTCTAGTCCCCGTGGGGGCGCCAGATTCTGTCCCTTATGGGAGATCAGGAGAAAACATCTGGCTCTTGAGTTCGTATAGGCACAGCGCACCGGCCACAGCGTGCCAGCCGTGGCGGCAATTTGGGGCGTGAACCAACAGAAAATGGAAGACCTTTCTCTCCGTCTGTCTCTCTCTGTCTAACTCTGCCTGTCAAAAAAACAAAAACAAAAACAAAACAAAACAAAACAAAAAACCCACAAAATTTTCACTGTAGGAGCATAATAACATTGTATCTTCTGAACATAGAATCCACCTTTCTTGCTCAAGGTACTGATCTTCAGCCTGGCCTTTTGGCTCAGCTGAATGAAGTCTGAATCTGCTGATACTGGGTGATCAGGGGATACCAAAATGGTTACCTGGGTTACATATAGAGCTTGGTGCTCATTATACTTATGGAGCATTGTAACAATATAACCCTCAGGATAGTGCATGATAGAATCAGGAAGGTTCAAATTTAGAAATATGCTACTTGTTCAATTAGGCAACTAAAATCAATGCATAACTTTTTCAACCTTGTTACAGGATTTTTAAGCTTAGCTATTAACATATTTTTACGTATTTGTTCAAGTAAAAGGGGAAAATACTTCAATGTATTTCCATTTTTTAAAAATTTCTCCTATTTGGTTAATCATCTAATGAACCAAAAATTGAGCCCTTGAGGGAGAGATTTGAGATCTGCTCAGTGTCTTCTCTACCTCCTTCCTTTGCTCTCTTGTCTCTCAGTATTTCCAGTCAAATTAGTTTTTCATCAGCATTTAACTCTATTATATTTGTCAGATCTTGATCTCCTTTATACATGTTTTCTATTATTAGCTCTAAACTAGGTGCAAATCTTTCTTTTAAATAAGAAAATAAAACAAGAATGAACAATAATACAACCTCTACTACTCACATTTTTCAATTAATGTTTCCTGAATTCCATTAAAACAGCAAACACTCATGTATATTGGGCACCATTGCCTGAAGAAGTAGAATGTACTAAAAATTCAGCTCTTAATACAACAAAATTGTTACAGATAAGGTTGTAAGGGAGCAAATAGCAACAGAATCTAATGCTCTGGAGGCTTTCTTGTCTTCTTGCAGGAAATGATGTTTTTGCTGAGACTTGAAGCACTAATAAATCTTAACCAGACAAAACTGAGAAAGACAACTGGACAAATTTGAGTGGAAATCAAAGAAGTACATGAGCAGTGTGACTCTTAATTGTGCACCTAATAGAGCACATATTGTGTTATAAGGCACATGTGCCTGTGCCTTATTGTATTGTTTTCCTCTGAACTGAGGGCCAGTTACATCATAGTCATTCAACCCAAGTTGTAAGAAAGATGAATCAATGCAGGTCGGAGGCAAGTAAATAAATCATTCATTGCCAAGACAAAAATACCAGATATCCACTACAGATCAGGTATTTGTGGGAAACTACAAAGATAAGGATGACTGAAACAATAGGGAATAAGAATGTGCAGGCAAGAGTGGCGATGGGAAAGACTTACAGAGAAAGAACAAATATCAGTGACAGATAATCAAAATATTTTCTACTTCATCAACTATGAATATTCTATTCTCTTTGCTCCCCTGAAGCATACCTCAGCTTTTTCTGTTTCCTCTGATTACTTAACCAGGGCTCATTATGTTATACAACTCAGTGTCCAAAAGCCCCTATGCTGTCCTCATTCATAGGTAAATGATGCAATAGAGGAATTTGGGGGTATTTAAATTAAGATTACCTATTAGCGGATTTTATTTTTATTTTAGAGAATGGGAATTGTGGTTAGCAATGATCATTTGCCATAGTGATCTAAAGAAGAAAAGAAGTTTGAAATTGCAAAATGTAAGGACTGATAAATCCACCTGAAACATTTTCTGGAAAAATGATAATAATCCCTCATACTAACACATTTTTATGCGTCTGCCCTTTTTATTATTGTATCTAAGCAAAGAGATAAGATGTCATGAACTTGAGAGAAGAAAGCATTCTATGACAGGGAGGTAACTTGAAGACTCCACTTATATGTGTGTTTATTTGAGATTTTTCATAATACTGTGGCCTCAGAAGTGCTTTTGTTATCAAATTCTCTCTCCTCTTCATCAGCTTCAGAGTCCATGCACTTTGTCATCCACATCATCATCCATTATCCATTTTTCTGCTAGGCCGAGAAAACACTGGAGGATGAAAACAGTTCCGACTGACATTGAGAGAACTAAATAACACACTGAACAAGCAGTTGTTCGGGGACTTTATTTCTTCCTGGTGTGTAGATGACTGCTGCCACGCTGTTCAGGAGATTGATAGCAAGATGAAGGGACAGAGAGCCTGCATTGCACCAATCTATTTCAAAGGGGACAAGACCTCCACAACCCAGAGAGGACATTTCTAGTTCTTCTTCCTTTCCCTTTTTTATATCAAACTGTTTAAGTAGTAGTGAAAAAAAAAAGTTGGAAACATTTAGTGGCATACAAAAGTAACAGACTTAAAACTCTCAGGTTTAGTTCAGTGTAGATAAACTGAACTATTCAGCCTTTGGAAAGTAGAAAATGAAGTGTGGTATTTCTATGAGGCATGCCAAAGTCCAGGGGCTTTGGACTAAATGAAGAAGAGCATATAGTTACTATTTCTATTCTCAGCAAGAAGAATCGCATGTGTTCAAGTTTTCAAAACATTTACAGTCTTACTTACCAAATACTGAAAAATGCAAAAGAAGTGATAAAGAGGAACACAGTACTTGAGTTGTCATGAAATATTTTATGAACACTGTTTAAGTTGGAAAGTGAAGATCTCTTTACTTTAAGGTTTCCTAGTATTTGATATTTTGTTTGTAACTTCTTAAGATGTCTAGAAAAACAGGTCAGTTGCAAAACTAATAGAATTGACCAGGAAGGAATGGATGACTTATAATTGATTCATAATGATATTAAAGCATTTCCTTCTTCAAGAAAATTGGAATGAAGTGACTGCTGAATATTTTTAAGTTCAATAATAGACTTCCTCCTGGAAACATGCCAAACAAGACAAGTCTACACTAAAATGATGTAATAATTTTTCTTTGAATAGTAAGCAAAACACAAAATGTCTTAATTTTGACAGACCCTCAAGTTATTAAAGGACTGTATTTCAGTTTGTGTTCTCTATCAATTGCATAGAATTACAAATTCAAGGTGTAGTCTGTAAAGAAATATTAAATGCAATAGAATCTAACATTTAGCTAGTGCTCTCTCTTTTTATTTTTTTAAGATTTTTGTAAATTTGTTTTCTGTGGCAGAGTTACAGAGAGAGGGAGAGACAGAAAGAAAGGTCTTCCATATGCTGGTTCACTCCCCAAATGGCTGCAATGTGCCAATCCAAAGCCAGGAGCAAGGAGCTTCCTCTGGGTCTCCCACATGGGTTCAGGGACCCCAGGACTTGGACCATCTTCTACTGCTTTCCCATGCCATATCAGAGAGTTGGATCTGAAGTGTAGCAGCTGGGATATGAATTAGTACCATATGGGATGCTGGTGCCACAGGCAGAAGCTTAACGTACTACATGCCAGTGCTGGCCCCTAGTTAGTGTTCTCATATTAAAAATATCCCAGGTTTTCTGAGAGAGCATCGTTTGCTTTTATAAAATAAAGGGAGGGGAATTATTTAAATAATCTTTCATTTTATAAATAAATATTTTAGTGCTCTAAAAACATTGATGGAAAAACATTTTTTAATATTATGTTTATGGAAACAACTGTTATGCAGTATATTTTTTTTTACAAAATGTCCCCTAAAAGAGAATACAACAATAGCAATTTAATTTTAAATTATTGCACTAAAATTGCACAGATATTTGAGAAAATAGGAAGATAGTTTGGAAACTATCAGTGTAACTCTGTAAATTCATTTGATTCCAACTTTTAAATCATTGATTGTCAAGATGTCTAAAACCTGGATTTAGTACAAATGTTGACAACTCATTTCTATTCTGTGCTAATCTGAGAATGTGTTGAGGTTGGAAAGAAGGGAGTTGGGAGTAAGTGCACTCAAGCATTAACTCTAGGAATCTCTGTCTCTATTTTGAGTTCCTGATGTGCCATTTCAGGCTGCTTTTATTTTTAACAGTAATGGAGCCCAAAGAAATAAATTAATTTTTAAATATTTAAAAGTCGACTTTTCCTTTTTGTTGTTTAACTTAACTAATTGTAATGAGTACAACTTATTCGTAATGAAGTCTCTCTGTGTCTATCTGATTTCCTTCACGCTTCTCTTATTAGTTATTGTGTCTCCCTTTCCCACCTTTTCTATGACTCCCCGTTCCACCCCTCTGCTTCATGTTTCCATTATTTTCTCCTTTATCTCCCTCTTTT